GACCTTCATTAAAGCTTCATTACAACTATCATCTTTATCAGAGGCCTAAGATTCACAGATAAGAAATATACTGCTACAACAAAAAATACTCTGAATTTTTTGTCATTATAAAAAGCAAATCTATTCAGATATATGAAATGAAAACCCCTTCAGTGCTTCTGAACACGATGAAGATGAGACGATCGACAATATGAAACTCCTGGAGGAACTACAGTTATACGATCCCTACATAAGGCACAGTGCGGTGAAGGAGCTCTTAAAAATATTGAACAAGCGGCTTTCCGATACGCTTCCGAAAGATCCACGAACCCTTCTTAAAGCAACGCCGACAGTTTCACTAAATCCGGTTGGAGATGGCCAGTATTGACATCACGGCTTTAAACCTTGTATTGAAAAAGCTTTTAGTGGATCCAATAAGCATTTCTTACATCTTGATTACAAGCGAAAATAGGAGGATCGCTTGGAATGTTGACTTTTTGACAGGTGGTCATGGTTTTTGTTTTGTTTTGATTCGCTGTACCGAATAAAACCAGCAAGCTAGTTATATAGCTTAAATATAACTTAACGCTCTCAATTTGGACTACGAAATGCTAAGATACAACCATTAGATTTATGTTATGCTATAGAATTCCAATCTAGGAGAATATGTTATATTGAGGTATTTTTAAGGAGTAGCAAGTTATAACGAAAAAAAATGTCGCCGTATGAACAAATTTCACACAGTATCAATAATTACGCTTTAATTGATAGGCAATAAAACACTTTCATACATCTATGTATAATTAAATAATATGTGACTGGTTATTGCTCAACAGTAGTAACAGTTTAGTACTAAATAGATAATCTTTGAATGACTCTTTAATGCATGGTGCTAATGCAGACAAATTAAAAATATCCCTATCTTTTAGTATTCATATGGCGCACTAAATTTATGCTCCTATTTGGTATAATAATCACCATAAATATTGCACGGCATGCTGTGAAGCATATACAGATTGGTTTAAAATTATAATAAAGTCGTCTTATTTTCAATGTACAATAATATCAGCCATTATAACCAACTGACAAGGATCATGATTTCACATCAAACATCGAAAGAATAAAACCACAATAAAATATTTCTCAATATTAACTATCATCCAAAAACCCCAACTTAAAACCTTCAAAGTTGTCAAAATGTTTTGCGTATCATGTTTTATCAACTTCTTCAGGAGCGATTTATGCGGTTGTAATATAGTTTTATGGTAGTCATTAGAAGGCTGTTAAAACTTTCTGACCTGGAGGAGGTTTTATGTTTTCATTTTTAACAATCACGTCTAGAGTGTGATAAAACTGACATAAATCCTATGCTCCTAAAGTAGTTCGCATATCAAGTTTTAATGACTGCATTAAAACTGGGCCAATTGGCCATGACATGGCTGTATTGCGGTTCTCAGGAGATTTTTAAAGCAATGTGGTCGTCAGTGAAGGTTTTATAATTTGGTTATATCAACTGCTATAAAACTTAAATAAAACAAAAATTGTTGCTTGGGTATTGTGCCTAGGGGCACGGACGAAAGCTTGACATAGGACCGCTAGTGGACGGAACAAATGTGAAGAGCATTAAGTTCTTTTAATTGATCGATCATCTATTACACAATAAGAAATAACTAATTTTACACGTGACGGAATCCATCTATGACATAAAATTTGAGACGTAAACAAACATATCATGTAATATTAAGTGCTCCGAGACTGAAAACTTCGTTGCTCGACGAAAAGTACGTTTGTTATGACTCAAATTTATGTCAAAATTGACGCTCGTATATGTCACTCTCAAAGCATCTAAATTTACATGATTTTTTCTAAGTGTGTATCTTAACTCTTTCCGTTTTTTTTTAATTGTAGGCGTAACAAATTTGTAATAATTTTTTTTTTTTCAAAGAGAAAGTTGATGAAGAGAATCGATCAAAATCATTTGCACCCCTGCTTACAAGTTTGGTTACTAGATTACAACTCTGGAGAACATTTTGTGTGGTCGTTGAGGGCGTGTGGTTCTGAATATGGACAAACAGGCACAGATAAATTCTATTCCAACTCTTTACTGTAATAAGCTTGTTGGCCTTGAAAAGGGTCGTTAGGTTGCCTGGTGATGTTTTAACCTCCGAAACCGTACATACTGCGTCTGTCACTTCAAAGCGTAGACGACATCCATGACCGCTTACGCTTGACGTGTTCAGAGTAGGTGACAGCATCACGGATCATATTTTCCAGGAACACCTTCAGCACACCTCGTGTTTTTTCGTAGATCAGACCGGAGATTTTTTTGACACCGCCACGGCGAGCCAGACGACGGATGGCGGTTATCACGAAGAACCTTGAAATGACGATTGGCGCCTCCTGTACCAAGACCTTTTCCTCCTTTGCCACGACCAGTCATTGTTGCTTGTTGGGTAGAAAAGTGAACTTTCTAGAGATGAACTAGCCTGAGGCTAAAAATCTCTTTAATAAAGAATTAAAAAAAAAAGAAAAGTGAACTACCTAACCTGCCACCACCTTCCTACTGCTGCTATTGCTGCATCTGCTGCCTGTTCACCACGTCCTCCGAAGCCGAAATGAGTTGAGGCTAGACATCAGCGCTCATTTTATATCTTGTCAGGTTAAAGCAGAATGATGTGCAATCAAGTGGTACTCGAATATGATGACTGGGTTTGGGAAGAACGTTTATTTCAAGAAAACAGTGATAAAATTATCACTTTTTATTTGTACATTGGACAATGCTTGACATTAGCACTTTTTCAATACTAAATTGTTGAAAATCACCAGTCAAAAGCATTGCTATTGATGCGTAGAAATATTTCTGATGGATTGGTAATACAATTATTGAAATTGGGCCAGGGGCAGCTGAGTTATTAAGGTTCAAAATCTTTCAAAATTTTGTTACATGTTCCATTTTCCGTTTTCACAAAGTGTATCCCCATATAGAAATCACAGACGTAGTCCTACGTCAAAAAAAAAAAAACAATACCGTGGACCGTGGAATGATTGGGGAAATGGCTCTAATGTTGGCCTATGGATCTAAATTGGGCCCATCGCTTAAAAGCTGCTATTTATCAATTGTATCCAGATGAACGCGTCATTGGGACAGTTCTTATGGATATTTTTAGTCGCTATTGAAAATTTAGTCGATTGCTGAGTTTATGTGTGGGCCCAAATTAGGGACATTAAGACCAACATTACATCCATTTCTCTTATATGTTATTTGTTGAATAAATTCGCCAAAAAGCTTATTTTGATGCTCAAAACCATTACTTTCTTAATTTTTTGAAAACTTTATTTGCGAGATTTTTAATTCATTGGCTACAGAATCCATCTTTGACATAACAATGAGATGTAAACAAACATGTCATGTAATATTAAATGCTCCGAGACTAAAAAGTTCGTTGCTGGACGAATAGTACGTTCGATTGAGCTATATTTCGCGTCTATTATGACTCAAATTTATGTTAAACTTTTTGCTCGTATGTGTCGTTCTCAGAGCACTTAAATATACATGATTTTTTCTAAGTGTGCAGGCCACTCACTCGCTATAAAAAAAATTCAGAATTTTGAATTCATTAGATGTTATAATGATATTTTGTACTTATTAGATACAAGAAGAACTTGAAAAGCAAGTGTTTGACACATAAAACCTGTCAAATTCGCTTTGAGATAGTCACAATCAGCGATTTTACGACTCACGAGCGCTCACTCTGAGTGAACGCTCACGAATCATAAAATCGTTGATAGTAACACTCTGGAAGTGAAAATGAAAGGTTTTATGTGGCAGATACTTGCCTTTCAACATCTTCTCGTATCTTACAAGTACAAAATATCATTATAACGTCGAATGATTTAAAAATACAGAAAATATTTTTTTTTAATATCAAGTGAGTGGAAGCAAGCCTGGATGCAAGAAATATCCGTACCCGTCTATTACACGTTTGTTGTTTAACCGTATCCGACCCGAATCTGAAAATTTATTAACTTGCATACTCGTATCCAACCGACCCCGTTACGGGTCGGGTTTCGGGTAAAAATGCCCGTACCTGACCATCCCTTCTCAATAGGCTATTTAATACGGGATGGTTTTAATTACTGAAAAACCGCTTTAAGAAATAGTTCCGATACTATTCCGAAATGTTTTGAAGGTGATTTCGGCATCAAATTTAAAATGGAATTATCTGCAACAAGTCACATATACAGTAATACAATATTGTTGTTTACATTCAACTTTGAAATGTGACATTTTGACAGCCACTATAGTGATACGCCGATGCACGCCGATCAAAGTCCACGGCGTCACGTCGCCATGCCGCCGCCGCAGAGGCAAAAATAGTTTTTACGCCGCCGATGTAAGGACCGGCGCACAGACCTAACCTTTAACTTAAAACATAAGTGATTTGAATTAGTTATATAAGTTGTATCCTTTGTTTGAGAAATAGTTAAACCGTACCGTGCAAATTGCGACTGAGCGGTGCAAACGACGTTAAGAAATGTTATAAAACGACGTAAACGACCGTTTAAATCAGTCAACACTCAACTTAACACAGTGCTCTGAAAAGTGTAAAGGATAAGATTTTTGACGTATATGTACATCGTATATGGAAAAAATCTTTCATCGTTTACACGAGATGGAAACATAGATTTTTTTTAAATGTTGTAAATGCAATTTTTTGGATCATAATCTGTGTATTCCGAATAAACAATACGGATATAACGTAAACTGACAAAGTTACAGACAATTTTTGATGTCCGTTTTATAAACTGAACAGTCCGTAAACCTGGCAGAATATGAAGAAGGAAACCATTGATGTTTGTTGCTAGTTCAATGGTATTCCTAATCGATGCAAAGTCAATTGTTTACTCTAAGCATATTGTCACTGTTGCGCTTGGAATATTATCTTATCTCATTTTCAATTACAATATGATATATAAAAACAACGTCAAGCGATGGACTGCATTTGTACGTATCGTTTCATACAGTAAATCGGAAGCCGACTCGCAATGGCATGGTACAAAGTGGAAGAGATTCCTTGCCCTAAACTGGACCTGGGTGAAGGGCCCCATTGGGATATCAAGACGCAAAGTTTGTACTTTGTAAATTTGTTCGAAGCAACGATCCACCGGTTAGACTATCAGAAGAACAAAGTTTATCATGCTTCGGTTGGTAGGTATCCAATGGTGATATAAATTGAGTGCTACATTACTGAAGCAAAATTCAAATCAGAGGGCTGCACGTGGACATCGTTTATCATCCCCGTGAAGGGCAGAAGCAACGAGTTCGTGGTGGCCGATGGATCCCGAGTTGTATTGATTAGCTGGGATGGAGTTTCTGACAAGGCGAAAATTGTAAAAGTCATTGCCGATCTCGGTGATAAGGAAAACCGCATCAATGATGGCAAGGCAGATTTCAAGGGGCGTCTGTTCGCTGGTACATTAAGAGCAGAGCACTGTGGAAATCCATTTGAAGAGAATTCCGGCAAGTTTTACAGATATGACGCAAAGAAAGGTGAATTTGTTGAGCAGTTCGATAAAGTTTTCATTTCCAACGGGCTTGCATGGAATGAAAAGACCAAAAAATTCTACTACGCCGACACTGGAGCGTACTCCGTGCAGGAATTTGATTTCGACGAGGAAGGCAATTTGAGTGAGTGGAATTTACTGTCGATTCTTGAGCGTGTTGGATTTCATTTATTTGTAATTTCAGGCAATGGAAAAGTTTTACTTGACATGTCTGTGACGAACAAAGAACCTAAGGATGGCCCTGATGGTATGACCATTGACACAGATGGAAATCTTTACTTGGCAGTCTTTCATGGCTCCAAAGTTTTAAAGATCAGCCCAAGGTACGGTGATATTATTGAATTGAAGCACTTTTTAAACTGGTATTTTATCTGTATTTTTGTAGTGGTGAAGTTCTGCAGGAGATCAAAATTCCTGCTAAACAGGTGACATCTGTTGCCTTCGGGGGACCTAATTTGGACGAACTGTTCGTCACAACGGCTAAGCGACCTTTTGTAGAAACACAAGGACCTCTCGCTGGAGCTACCTTTAAGGTGACTGGTTTAGGAGTTAGAGGACTACCGATGGCCGATGTAGAACTATGATCAATTCTTTGGAAAATGCTGGAGTACTCGGCTATTCTATTTGATAAACTAAGTTTTGCAATGTAGAGCCGATTTAAAACAACCTCTTTCAAATGTGGATTTTTTGCAAGACTGTATATCTGAAACTATTAGTACAAGAAAATCGATATAAAATGTGAGCTATTGATGAAATAAATTGATTCAGGAAAATATTTGTGCTTCTCTTAATAAAATATGCTTATTCCATGGTTATGGATACATACTTTCCAAAATTTGGTAAATGCTCTTATCCTGCATCCATGTAACGTGCTCTAGACTGCTGTCCAACTCAAAGCATGCAACAGATACTTAACGAAAGAAAGCGTACCGTGTAAATGAGTTAATTGAACCGAGCCATGACAATTTCAATGGACACATCCTAACGAGCAATCTAACAAGCGCTACGAGACCATGGTCTAATTCCGAGATCATTCGGCCTGAATAGAGCCGACAATAATAAGGATACAGGGACATTACAAATTCCAATGCACGTATAATTGCAACCAGCAACAGGATCCATCGTGCAAGACCGAAAAGTACCTACCACTAGCTAACCATATGCTGGCAAAGGTCGGAAAAGACGACATGTTCTAAATTTGCTAGAACATTGCCATAAAATTGTATTACATTACCTCGTAGAGAAATACCTACATGAACCAGTAGGTGCCAACCGGTTCGTCCTGCCTGGGAATGTGGCTGTGCGACACCTTTCACACCCCATACGACATGTAATTATTTGCATGGAAAGACAAGCAGCAGAGAATAGGAAGCCAACGTGCTGCTACAGATTCACATGTTTCTGGTCGGGACGGATTGTTGAGAAACGGAACTTTCACTACTGAAAAGCATCATTTGTTGATGAGGTCTTTGCCGCTCTTCTTGCTGAGATTCGTGCATAATTGAAACAATCTTCCCTGGGCCAGGATATTTTCCAACTTTTACTTCATGTAGCGATGCAATTTAAATTTTTATCTCCATTTAACTTATGCAGTGCTCTATATATTTTTTATTAATTATGAACTTCCAATTAGCATATTTTTGCCATAAAGATGGCATGCACATTTTTCAGAACATTTTGTCTCGCCTAGTCCTGGCAAAAACTCATTTCCAGCCACCCACATTTCCCGTGGACATTCACGGCCATCCCGAACAAGAAGCGTTCAACTTGAAGATGGGGGTGGCAGAAGTAAACCGCATGTAGCGTGTGGGTGAAAAAAAATGTATCACCAGAGCATAGAGTGTGTAACGAACGAACCACAGTGAAAGTGGAGGGTCGGACGAAGATGGGCACATTTTTTGGCTCGTTTATTATACAAATCCTTTGAGGATGATACAAAGGACTTCCGGCCAAACTGTAGTCAAAATATGGAAAAAGGATTCACCTGCGTGAACTCTTTTCCCCGTGGAGACTGAAGCGACCGTTGACCAGTACTAAACCATCGCGACTTCCAAGGGGTAGTACAGTGTAGCCATACGATTGGCAGAAAACGATTTTGTTAAAATAATATAGGCCTATGCCATTTATTTTACTCAACCTTTAAGCTATATTGCACAAGTCTGATTTTTAGAGCAAAGTACTTTAACCACCTTATATTTATAAAAATAGAAATTGTGTAGCTTTTTTCCATACCTTGTTATTCAAATGAGAACTGTTGAAAGCGTTTTGAGGAACGTTTCAGTTACAACGACGATATGCACCTTATGAGCTCTCTAAAAGTTAAATAGCTCGTCTTCACTTTCTTTACGAGATCGAGCAATCCAATTAATGTTTTTAAATTCATGACAATATTGTTCGACAATTTTACTCAAATTTGAATGGCTTAAAACATGAAGTTAATTTTTAGCATATTATTAATCATGCCGATTAATGATATCTGTAAAAATTCCATTTAAGTTTTAATATACTATTTACCTAAGTAAAAATCATCAAAATTTTCGCTAGAATTATGTTGGCTAGAAGTTTGATTTCGATTTCTACCAGTTGCAATAACAACATACCCAAGTAACAAGTTCTAGTTGGAGAAACGCTTTCGGTTTGATTTTGATCAGCTTCATGCTGAATAATTACAGTACAATTTGTTTATAATAAATTCTGCAGAACCCTTGTTTACACTGGTTTGGAGATTCTGTTCAACTACAACATTATGTGTGTACGGTATAGGTGGGCAGTTGGTGGGGAGTACACCTGGAAGATCTGATCAGGTTGTACCGAACAACCATTTTGTCGATTCTAGAGTATGGTAGCTTCTGCTATCAATCCGCAGCAAAAACACACATCCTGAAGCTGTGACGGATCCAATATCGTTGCCTCCTATTCGCGCTTGGCTGTATGTACTAGGTGCATACGATGAGCCTCGAAGTACTTCGGGTGTTCTCCCACTGACAGATCGTTTCGCGAAACTGTCCTTCCGGTTTCTTATCCGTTGTGAAGTAATGAACCCATTGGTAATAGAAAAGCTACTCGACAGAAATCCTCAACAAGATTCATGAGTCTCTATTACGAGTACATGACGCTGGAGATTGGTCCTTCTTCATACAATTCCATTCGTGTTTGCCTCCAAGCATTTTATAGTTCCTCTGAAAATTTTGATCATACCATGTTGCAAGAAATTTGTGGAATACCAGATAGCCATCGGTCGATGGATGTTCCCTTATTTTTTGCAAACAAGTACCACCATGTCAGTAACAAAAGAAATTTATTCACATATGGATCAACTATTAACGCTTCCAAGGGATTTGGAATATTCAACGAATTTCATAGCGCCTCACATAAACTTCAAAAACCCTGTTCCGAATACGTTGTGAAACTAGCAGCCATATTTTAGGCAGTAGACCTCACTACCCTGATCACTATTTCATTTTACGGATAGTCTTAGTCTATTCGTGCAATGAGGCCGATGAAGCACTCCTCGTATTTCCTAACCGAAACCCGAGTCAAATTGAGTAGGTTATCTAACTACGAAAGCGGACTCGGAAGGCAATATTTTTGATCGACAAATCGCCTTTGCGAAATTCTCCTCAGTTACGCGTCAGCAAGTCCTCACCAACTGGCAAAAAAGGAAAGAGAGTGATCGGGGAAGATGGTTACATTATATTCTCCCACAGGTGTCAAACAAGCCGTGGTTCAAAGGGTTGGACATAAGTTGTAACTTTATACGTCGAAGCTCATGTCGTTAGACTCGCATTTCGTTCAAATCGGGCTCGCTGGCAGCAATTTGTGCGTTTGTGGTAGTGATTATCACGAGATCGACCACGTGCTTTGATCATTTACCCTCCATTGTGTTGCTAGATCCGAGTTATCCGCATCCCTCAAGGTACGAGGAAAACAACCTAGGCGGGAGTTGTTCAGATAATCGAAGATATCCGAATGGTGGTCAGATTAATTATGAATTATGCCACTATGTATTTGCTATATCTCGAGATCCTGATCAGCTGGGTAGCCTCTGTTTCTTGTTTAGATATCTAAAATCATCAGAATTGGTGATTAGTTCTGACATCTGCCACTATATGGCACCAGTACGCAAGTGAAAATACAAAGTATGCTATATCTCAAGATCCAGTTATCTGGGAAGTTACTGTCCTCTGCAAAGTTGTTCAGCAAACCAAGGCCTTATTCATGGAGCTCAGTTTAGTCAAAAATTCTGTATGTAAAAGGCTAATAAATAAATAAATAAAAATCTAGTGTCACGTAGTGACTGAAATCTACACAAATTTTCTCACCAACGACTACTTCCCATCTGGTTAGGATCATGAGATATAGCACATAATGAAAATGGACAGAAACACTAACGCCACGAAGTGAATTAATTTTTAAATAATATCTCCACCGTCCGAAAGACAACTTTGACGAAGATTGTTACTTTCTAAAGTGCCAGAGTCTTACGATAAACATATGATTCTCGCCTGAAATGGGGAACCTTCGGTGACGTGAACCTCCTCCCAGATGACCATGGCACATGGGAAAAAATCCGATCTCCGAAATGAGATAAATGACTCATGATTTCATGAACACAGCGTATTTTCATGTTATGAAAATACATCATGAATAATATTCATGATATCATGAGCAACTTTTGTGTAACGCAGCAAACATTCCCAAAATCATGAATCATCCAAGTTGAAATCATGAACTAAATTCATGGGCTTAACTCTTAACCAAAAAATGTAAAAAAATAAAATAAAGCATCAGACTGGAATTCGAACCAAGAACCTTGAGATCCTTATACCCACACTTTGACCACTAGACTATCAGTACTTGTTTAAGATGGAAGACAAAAGGCGTATAAGAGATACATATATAGTGTGGATTATGAACACGGTTTGCCAAGTACGTGTAACGCTTGCAGCGGTCTTGATTCCACTGCATTATGCAATCATGAATTTCCATGACGAAATCATGAATCATTGTTACGATTTCAAAGATGTTTTATCCTAGACAAATGGAAAGTTACAAATTCGATATTGTCATTGTCGGAGGCACCGTCGTATTTGCCGTCGTAGTCACCGTAGACATAACCGTTAGTATATTTAAAATTAACCATCAACCGCTGAAACAATATGAATTATCATGTATGTCTGTTGATCATTACATACCAAGTGAAATTCCAGAACGTAATTTCATTTGAATAGCTTATTTATCCAGGGCTTAAACAACCGTAAAGTCGGTCATAGCTTGTTATGATTGCCTGAACCATGCGTAAAGAGAAAATCGAAACATTGAACATCGCGTGAAAGTGGATCTTAATGGAGGCCTGAGTACTCTTTCGTAGCTTTTAGTTTTTGGATTTGAAAGATCGTCGGTTGCAGTGGCTTGCTTACTGAGCAGAAAAGCGCGGTCCCAGCTTCTTTTATATTAAAAATGTTTGGTAAGATCGCATGATTATCGTGTATTTTGTAAAAAATTTCGCTGCGTCTGTGTCGGGTTTGAATAGTTATAACAACTTGAGCAACGGTATAATGTGATATGAGGGGCTCGGTGGCCGTAGA